CGCTGAACTGAGATACAAGGCATTACTTTCCTTTTGGGTGTAAATTTTTTTGAAGAAATAAATATACGAGCATTTTTTTTCTTGAGAGCTGCAAACTGATTTAAAAAATGTTGATAGAGGAAAATTTCTTTTCAATTTCTTGTGGGTAATTGTATACGAATTTTGCGTTTTTTCTTGTGAGCTGGATGCAGCCCTATAATCCAAACCAAATGTGCATGTACATATGTATTTAAGTACATACATATGTAAATCAAAGCTTCGAAGTTTTTAATGTAGTTTCTAGCAAATGGAAATTTAGTATAAAAAAGTACTTCTTTGAAGCCGCGAAGAATTCGTGTTGATTTTTAATATTTTTTTTTTCTGTCGCCTTTTGTGGGTTATATTAACAATAGCATTGTTACCTGAAAAATATTCTGTGCTTAAAGTGTAGATAAATTTTTCAAAGGTACTTCAGAAAACTGGCCTAAATGTTAACAAAATCCAGGGACCGTAACTGTTATGATTTTTTAAAATGACACAATTAATAATTGTTATTTTTTCAACTATACTTTTTCAGTCAAAAAACGCAAGTTAAAATTTGACTTTTATTTTTTGGATCAACGTAAAAAGTTAAAATATGAAATTTATTTTCTTGATGAAAAATAAAACTTAAAACTTTATTATTTATTTTTATTTATTTGATAGTAACCGTTAAAGGGCTGTCTTCAGTTCTCAAGAAAAACGCAAAATTCATATAAAATGATGCACAAGAAATAAAAAATACATTTTCTTCTATCAAAAATTTTTAAATCAGTATGCCGCTCTCAAGGAATAAATTCTTTTACATTTATTTCTTCAAGAAAATTTACAGAAGCAGAAAAGTACTTTTTCAAGCAACAGAAATTATGAAAAATATTTTTTGTGATTTTTCTTGAGAACTGCGGGCAGCCATTTAAGTTAAAAACGTTCTATTGCAACGTATAAAAAGATATTTGTCCTTTGTTATATGAATGATGCGAAATGTGCAATGAATATCGAAGATTTTTTTTGGAAAACCGTTGTTACTACGAAGTAAAAAGTCTTTCGTAATACAAAAGTCTTATTGAAAAAGCTCTCTCATTCACCACTCGCACGTGAGAAATCTATTTTGAAAGAAAGCACTTATATTCTTCTACGTGTTTTAGTTTATTTGCCTTTTAATTTTTAGATCTTATTGTTTAAACAAGACAAATATTTTTAAAACCAATTTTTTTTTTTTAATTTAATTTGCTTTTTTGTTGTTAATTATCACTTTCTTTAACTTTTAGATTTTATTTTTTAAAAGAAAAGTAGGTTTTTTATAAATTTCAAGTTTAGGATCTATTTCAATTATTTTTTTTTATTCAATTTTTTCTACTTAATTCTTAGATTGGTTATAAAAAATAATTTGTTTTTTACTATTTTTTGTTTAACTTTAAATATTATTCTTTTTGATTTAATTTTTTTCCAATTTACGTTTATTAATTCTATTGCTTTAAAAAAAAAAACAATTAATTTCATATCGACACCTGAGTGAAAGATCGACCTATCTCGGAAGTCCATTCGAAAACGCCCTATCTCGAAATTTAAGAAGCCTTTTTCAGAATTCGATTGAAGAATTTTTTGGGCTTCATGTGTCAATCAATGGGTGGAACACTATTATGCCACCTCGGGGGAAAGGCGGCGGATTGTCCTTTGCTGCGATGCTAATGTTCAGAATATCTGGTAATTAGTCTGGGTAATTGAGCTTACGCTATCTTAAATTTTTCGGACATTTCCGTACATCAAATTTCATCTCGAAGGCAAATAATATTGGGGGACCCAACGTCGGTAAAGGTTCGAGGCAAAACTATCAACAGTCAATAGTTGGTGCTTAAAACCCAAGAAGGTGGTCAGACTAAGAGAAGAAAGTATACAGAAGACCGACTTACGCCAATTACGACTCAACAAAGCTAAATGCATGCCGACACTATTGACCCTACCGACTTAGCAATACACTAAACATTAGGCAACAGTGTAACTATCAACTGAAATCCCCTAACTCAAGAAAACTAACTACTGTCTCCCAACCCGAAACACCTAACGCAAAATTCCTAAGCCGGAATGTCTGCTCGATAAGATCGCTGATATATTTGCATATCGTCTGCTCAGCATTCCCCATTAGGTATACAGTTGCCCCCATGGCTGATTGCTAAACGATTATACTGTAAGATATAACGAGAATCCGGTCCGGTCGCTAAGGCTCAATGACCGTCCTCAAGACTTATCTCAGGACAATTAGACCTGATTTCGTCTTAAGATCGTTAGATTAGGTACAGACTCCAACTACAAAGAGTACCTAATGTCCTTGGACCTCTCCTCGAGCAATATACTGGAATCAGGAGGCATCAATATTGTTTTTTGCCCACTGTAAAATGTTCGAATGAATTAACATTTCTGTACAGCACGTTAGCAGTGCTTCAAAGGCTGTTGTTGGCTACAGCAGGAATGCGCGATTAAACTGATCGCTGATCGAGGACTCGAACATTACCACTTTATATAGAGAAGATTGATGCAACACTGGGCATTAAAGCTATGCGAAACCAGTTGGATAGCTGGCTGGCAGTGAAAATATACATATGTACAGAACTGACTGAAAGTATTCCAGAACACAGTAGTATTAATTGATTGGTGAAAAAATTTTGAAATGTTTGGAATTGTAAAAGATATTAATTTAATAGTATTACAAGTAAAATAACCAACTAGGTATGGCCTGCATTTTGTGGAGTAGAAGCGTTGAAAAGTTTGCAGCAAATTATTGACAGTGAAAATGAAAACAAGTTTCGGCAGTTTCTTTCCTCATTGCCACGCTGCTATGCGCCCCGCTGTATCCTTGCCAAGGTTTTTTCTTTTTATTAATTTTGTGTTTGTTTTCTCTTAATTTTATTTGCAGCTAAAATTGGAAAAATTTTCATTATTTCGTATAATTGGCGTAGACAATTCCTTTTATAATTTCCATGAAAAAAAACTTAAAAATAAAATTGCAAACAAATTTACGCAAGCAGTGTGCAAAGTAGTGAAGTATAAAAAAAAAATTTTAAATAAAACGAGTGATGAAACGAAATGCCAAAACAAGTTGAGAGAATTGAAGAATTTCAATACGGCTGCGCGACAGCGAAGACGAAACGTGCGCGTAACAGAGACGAAACGAGTGCGAACGCGAACTGAACGAAACGGACGGCGCGTGTGTACGAGTGAAAGAGTTGCTAGGCTAGCAGCAGTGGAGGGAGAAGAAAAAGAGGTAGAATTGCAGTTGAGCAGCAACACCGCGGCAAAGTTTTGTCTTCCAGCCGAAGGCCTGCACGAGTATGCGTGCGTGCGTGTGTGTGTTTGCGGGTGCTGTGGCAAAAAGTGCAACGACAGTCATCGCAGCGACAACAACTGCATAGCAAGCAAGTAAAGCAAACAATAACAATTGACTAGATCGATGCAAAGGAATGCACAATAAAAGCAAAGCAACAAAAAATAATGAGAAATTAAAAAAAGGCAACTGAAAAGACAGGAATTTTTTCACGCGATAAGTAAAAAACAAAAAAAGAAACGCAAATGTGTATGAAAGCGGCATAAAATGTAGCTGAAAGTGTGTTTGTGATTTGATGAAACAAAGCAAAATTTCATCACTCAAGTGTCACCAAACGTTAAAAATCAGCGAAAATTCTTATTTTGAGTTTTTTATTTTCTTATTTGGTAAAAAATAATTCTGCAATATTATTTATGTGTTATGTAGCAAATGTGTACTAACAATTTTCAGTTTCGAAAATTAAGTTTTTTTTTTTTAATTTTTGCCGCCACACGAAAGTGTAAATAAGCTACGTTGTTGTTTTTCTTTATTTTGTTGCCAAACGAAAAAAAGTTAAAAAAGAATAAAAAAATTCATAAAAAAAATGAAATAATTAACCGCCTTTTTCATTTATCCAATTAATTCACCTCGATTTCAATCAAATAAATCACATTCTTTCAATTTCAATCCCTTTTGAAATTATGAAGAATAACCAAACGAAAACCTCTAATAACTAAACAATAACAACAACAGGAACAGCAAAAATTTAAATTACCTAAATAACATCAATAAAAAATTCACCAATAACAGCAATAAAGTCAGCAAAGCCACACAATCGACGGCCAGCAACAAAACGCTCATAACAACACCAACAACAGCACTAATCACAACAATAACAACGCTAAGCATAACAAGAAGAAATAATAATAAACGCACTTTGCGTTTGGGTCGCAGCAATAAAATGGGCGGCCGCAAGGATGTGCGTCGCGGCCTCGAGCCACTCGAATTCGAGGAATGCATCGTCGATAGTCCAGAGTTTCGTGACAATTTGAATCGGCACGAAAAGGAATTGGATCACACTAGTCATCAGATCAAGCGTATCATCAAGGAGGTGAAAGATTTGATGAGCGCGGCTAAAGGTGAGTCGAATAGGTGGAAACTTATTTTATGTCTAAAAACATTTACCACGGGAATTCTCAAAAAAAAACAGGAGGAACTGTTGTCATTTAATAACATTTTTTCATCTAAATAAATACTTCTTAATTTACAAATATTCAATAAAATTTGTAGACAAACAATTTTTTGGTTTTTCGTCATGTCGCACGTTTAATAATATAGAGATGTAACTCAAAATTTACGTTTTTAGAGATTTCCTCTACAATTAATAAGCTTGATAAGTAAAACATGTTCAGCTTAACAGATGGCTAAACTTCCCAAAGATGGCGAAGGTATGGGTCTTTCTTTTTTTGTATCCAACTATGATTATGAATGAACTTTATGTCAATTATTTTATTTCTGTATTATTAAAGGCATTACATTCATCGAACCTCATTGAATTTATACCACACATAATTTCAAGTAAAATAATTTAGAATCTGATGGATATACAAAATAATATGACATAGCTTTTCATGCTGAAGGTTTTGTAACTTAATCAGTAGTAGTAAGGTCTAATTCGGGGAGGAATAAAACGGGCGTATTAAAGTTTCTCCTTTCGAAACTCCATTGCGTTATCCTATTTTAAACATCTTCGATAGAACGTTGAGTTAGACATAATGAGATAGACTTATATAGTCATACATATGGGCGATATCACGCCTATTTTCCAAAATTCCAAATAATGTTGCTTCTTTTCAAGGGATTGTTGTTAGTATCAAATTTGATTAAATAAGCGTCCTGTGAATCTCGAAATATAGAAGTTTCAAGCATTTCTGAAATTACCGTTATATGAGAAGTGGCCTAATTTTAGTCCGATTTCATAACTTTAACGTTTTGCTTCTATGTGGCAAACACAATAACCTCACCGAGGTGGTACAAATTGGTAGTAACGGTTCCCGAGATACATATTATATTGAAACTAGTGCGTGATCATACATAACTACGGTAAGTTGTGCAAGCTAATGATATGCTTAAATTACGTACGAGTTGTTTCCTAAAACCTATTGGAGGGGTGTTTTCCATTGCCCACGAGATCCGTCACATACGCTGAAAAGAAGTACACATACCAAATTTCGTTAAGATATCTCAATTTTTACTCGAATTATCGTGTGCACAAACGGACAGACGGACGGGCACCGTTATATCGATTTCTCTTTTCATTCTGATCATTTATGTATACATTTGTCTATATCTATCTCGATTCGTTTTGCCTGTACAAACAACCGTTATAGTGAACAAAGTTATAATACCCTTGTGCACAAGTGCGCTCGGGTATAAAAAAGGGAACTCGCTTAACCGAGCGTATGTTTTTTCCCAAACAAAACAATTTTTCCTCAACAAAAGTTGAAGATCATGTAATTCTGAAAACTCATTAAGTTTATTTGAATCGCAAATTGTTTCAGTGGAACCCCCCCAGCACGGTGTAAGGTGATGATTGCGCTGCCGCTGCCGCTGCCGCTGATATTTCGAAGCGATTTCGCTTTCGCCTTTAAGCCACATTTAAATATCTCACACTTTGATTGGCTGTAATTTTTGAAATGTGTGGCAATTTATTTATAATTTGTTCCCTTTAATTTTCTCCTTTGTGGGCCTTAATGAAATGTAAAATAACTTTATTTACCTCAACCGCAAAAACAACAACAGCAGTATGGAGTAGAAAAAAATATGAATAAAAAGCGTGTAGGAAAATTGTGCTTTGGCTTTATAGTCACACAAACCGACGGACAAATATGCATCCAGTAAATAAACTTGCGAAATATTGAATTACAAAATCTTGCATAGAAATGCAATTGCAAAAACAATAACAATCAGCAGCAGCAGCAGCAGTAGCCACAGTAGTAAAAAACAACATACATACATATATGCATAACAACAAAAACAATTAACGTAACAGCAAATAGCGCATGCAAGCGAATTGTTGTGAATAATAGCAGCAGCAGCAGCAGGAACAGCAATTGCAATAGCAATCAGCGCTAGTTAAATGCAACGCTGATTTTGCCACGTACTTACAGTGCGCTGTCATTGTACATTATTTGGAAACACAAGTAAAAACTTGTCTGGAAAATTTAGTTAAAAAAAAATCTGAAAAAAAAAATTATTTGTCAAATTACAAAAATTAGAACTTTTATCTAAATATTATTAGTTTTTCAAATTTTTTTTCTTACAAAATTTACTTTTTGAATTTTTCGTTATTTAATAAAATCTTTGTTCCACACGCTACTCAAAGTCACCTCCGAGTTACACTTAAGCATTCCGCCAGAAAATTTACTAATAAAGTAAAAATGGCAGAAACTAAAACAAACATTCAGCGAACATTTTTTTCGAGCCTAATCTTAGCTAACAAATAAATATGTTTGTCGAAGTTAACACAAAACTGTTCCATGTATTTTCGAGTAGATCGTGGAACTAACCTAAAGTGTTTCTTTTTGAATATTTGTTATTAAAAAATTTAAATGTTATTAATTTAACATCTGCTCAAGGCCTGACTAACACAAATTTTCTTATTGTTTTAATTGGTTAAATGGTCAATATATCGACTTAAGACTGTTGTGATCTGCTGGATCTTTCGGCTATGCCTATTTGAAATATCGACCAATTAAAATAGTAAAAGAAGAATATACAACTTTTATTATTTTTTTTAATCCGTCTTTGAGCTCTTCTAACAATTAATAATACATATTACATGTTGACCAGAAAAAAAAACATATTAAAAAATCAAAAATCTTAGAAAATAACAAAAGCCTAATAGAAAAAAATTAATATTAAAACAATTAAAATTTAACTTTGCTAAATCGTAAAATGCGCATTGGCCTTTATTTTTTTCTTCATTTCAAGAACAAAATACTCGCGACAATGTTTTTTTTTAGAGAAAACCTAACCTAAACTAATTAATAAAAAAATAAAAAAGCATATATGCACATCTTAATATATAAAAATCCCGTGTCACTGTGTTCGTTTACGCTAATCTCCGAAACCATCTTAACCGATTTCAATGAAATTCTGTGGGTGTGTATTGTTGGTTTCAACTTATAAAGATAAGGATAGTTTTGAACCCGAGAAAAAATTCCATCGAAATTTTTTCTCATGCTTCTCGCGAACGAACTTATAAAAAGTTTGAAAACTTGTGAATTTTTTAGTTTGCAATCTTGACGAAAGTTCCGACGTAGTGGGATTTAATGTTCTTCTCGTGTTAGTGAGGTACTCCATCCGCAATGACAAATCAGAGAAGAACTTTTGATGAGGCGAAGTACTTGAGATTACACCACTAGCGACGAAATTTTGAAAGCTATCGACAAATTTGTACAAAAAAATGGTTTGAAATCGAGCAAGTGTGCGATATTTGCAATGGTTGAAAAAACGAAAGGAGCGATAAAGCAAGAGGCAGAAAACGTCACGAGAAGGCACTGTATGATCTGTCGGTATTCCTGGCGACTAGGAAGATGCCGCCAGTGCTGCGAAGATAACAGAGACCTGCGAAATTAAAATACATCTTTGGTTTTTTCTAGCACGTCGAGTTTTTTTTTTATTGGAGAATGTATATTAGTGCTATTATGCATTGCATTCGATTTTCGACTGTGGTCGAAAGTGCTGAGCGAACGAATTTTCATTTGGTATTATGGCGCTCATTCGATGAAGAATAGCGCTATTGTGAATTTCGCTCGTTTAGGTTGTTCACAATAGTATATTTTTCACCGCTGAGAAGCTTTGTTTACAAATCGAGCAAACTAAATATTGTGCTTATACATATTTATGTAAATTTGTTCTAATTAAAATGAAGTAAAAAAGAAAGCAAGTTTATAAAAACGTGGTAAAATGAGTACAACGAGTTCTGGTTCAACGATTCGTCAGAGGATGAGAGCTAAGTAAACTGGCCAGGAGTAGCAAATGTTTAAGAGAGTTTAAGTTTATTAGTCTTTCGAATATATTTTGATATAAAATATATTTAAGAAATTTGTCTACAGATTCATTAAAAAGTTCCGACCATCTAAAGAAGCGTTTGTGAGCCAAATCTATTTAAAATATTTTAAAACTATCAACAGCGCTACGATTTTGTTCTCAGAGATCGCGCCAACAGAGTATTGGGATTTTCTTTCACAAGTAAAACCAGCCTTTCGAGCTTGTGTTTAGTATTCACGATGTTAGAACTGCATGAAATTAATAAAAATTGTTTAAAATTAGTGTCTAGCCGCCAAAATGTAAGAAAACATATACAAAATCATACATTTTTAACAATTTTCTAACACTTCGCTACACCATCGAAAGTAAAATTCTGTTCGACAGAAAATTCGATACTCAACGAAAATTTCTTTTTTTTTATACCAATACACCATAAATTTCAAGTAAAAAATTATATTTTTAACGAAAATATGCTGATGGATTTTTGATGTACATAAATAAGTAATAGGTACCACTAGCTTTTGCATGACTTATGTGATGAAGTGGTCATATTGTAACTCTTTAATAATCATAAACGTAACTGTAACAAGTAAGCAAGTCTAAGTTCGGGCGGAGCCGAACACTAAATACCCGGCGCAAGTATTAAATATATGTTTTCCACCTTTCCGAAAACTACCGTGACATGGTAAGCCGGGGTGGTTTTATCCCTATTTTAAACATCTTCGATAGAACGTTGAGTTAGACATAATGAGATAGACTTATATATAGTCATATGTGGGCGATATCACGCCCATTTTCCAAAATTCCAAATAATGTTGCTCTTTTTCAAGGGATTGTTGTTAGTATCAAGTTTGATTAAATAAGCGTCCTTGAATCTCGAAATATAGAAGTTTCAAGCATTTCTGAAATGTACCGTTATATGAGAAGTGGCCGTAATTTTAGTCCGATTTCAGTAACTTTCAACGTTTTGCTTCTATGTGGCAAACACAATAACCTCACCGAGTTTAGTACAAATTGGTAGAAGGGTTACCGATATACATATGTATGTATATGTGATCATAAGTGGGCGGTGCCACGCCCATTT